ACTCCCCTTGAGATCCTGGATGGGACTAGCTGAAGGTGACAGCGAACTGGGCCTCACATCAAGGACACAGCGATGAGTCACCCCTTTGGAATGTGAACTTAGAATCTATATCAGAGACCCTCCCCCCCTATAGGGTTGGCAGTAGCTGCAGACCCCATCCTAGGGGCTCTGGCTCAGCTGCTATCGGGGAGCAATAAACTCTGCTTGCTCAGCCTTTCTGCCTCCCGCCTTCCTTTCTTGCTGCCGGTCACAGAAGTTGGGACAAAACAGTTAGCAAGTGAACTTCCTGCACATCACCTATGACGGGGTTTTGCTGTCATTGGCAGTTTTTCTGCCTCCTGGAGGTTGGGCCTGTGATTTTCAGAATCAATGAGGAGGTCTGACCCTTTATATTCTGTGAGGTTTCCTCTGATTGCTCATTCAAAGTAACTTTACTCTTGGTGAATTGATTTACTTCACCCCAGTCCTCCAAGGATGCTCAGACCCAAAGATGTCTAGGAAAGTGTTTTTCAGATGCTGACACCAGTCCCAGCCACTGACAGTCCCGTGCCCTGGCACCTGTTTCAGGAGGGCGGGCCCCATGCAGTGGGGAAACCTGACCCACAGAGAGAAATCAGTGTGAACGCGGGTGAATTGGTGATGGGAGGCCCAAGGGGATTACAACTGAGATGGGAAAATGCACAAAATGAAGAATGATATAAAAAAAATTAAAAATTAAAAATAAAAAAATAGGCCCTCCCTGGTGGCGCAGAGGGTTAAAGCACAGCACTGAGAATCTGAAGCCACTTCCACATGAGTTCGATTCCCGCCTGCCGCCTGCCCCGGAGGTGACCACATGGCGTGGCAGACCTCTCCTGACCCGCCCGCTGCTCCCCTCAGCAGTGTACTTCGTCGATCTGCCTGTTCTGCTCCCCACTCTGTCTCTGGTGAAGCCTCTCACCGCCCTTGAGCCTCTGGCCTGTACCCCAGTTCTGTATGCACAAATAAATAAATAAATCTTAAAAAAAATTAAATAAAATAATCAGTGTAAACAATGCTCCAAAGAATTTAGACAGTGCTGTTCATGCTTACCCTTTAGAATCATTCTTTCTCTTGTTCTTACAAAACAAGAAGACAGAATATCAAGCTCTATTAAATCAACACAACAAAGATGAAATATATATGTGTGTAGGTATATGTGTACATATACATGCGTGTATACACACACACGTATACATATAAATTCCATACAAAAATCAGGTCAAAAGATGAAAAAGAGTAGAAGAAATAAGCACACACCAGCACAGACATGGAGGGAAGTATAGTCAGAAAGGCAGGATAAAGAGAAAACCTCAGAACTCCCCAAATCCTTCAAAGGAAAATGTCTCATTTTCTGATCCTGGTCTCCATGGCAAAATAATCACCAGTAGATCAAAAATTTGGATAAACATTGTAGCGTGTGTTATTGAGAAAGCACTATAATTCTCTCTAAATTCAGGCAAGTCTCTATCCCTCATCTGTCAAAGAAGAAAATCTCCCATTCCCTGTTCCTGAGAACAGCAATTGTTAAATTTCATTTTTCAGAGATCAAGTTGCTAGACGACTTCCGGGTAACGTCCCATGTGTGGCCTATCAATCCACTTATACCTTCAGGTGTTTCAAGGTCTGTTGTATTTTCTCAACCACAGGCATTAGTGACGCCTGGTCTGTGCTCCCCTGCATGTGGGTGGGCTCGCTAATCAGCAGGCCCTGCGGAGTGCAGGACAGGCATGGGAGCAGAGCAGAGCCCCTTGGGAAACCACCGGATCTAGTGATCAGGACTCAGAGGCGTCCCCTGTGTCCCTTAGCCACTGCCGCCATCAGGGCCCTGGGGCATTGTCGTTCCTGGCCTGTCCCTGGGACACCCTCTATTGCCAACGATCAGTGAGCACTTTAAACAACTTGGTGTTCCTACACAGCAGTATCTGAAAGCTGAGACCAGATAAACAACTGGTTTGACAATCTCCCCATTTTACACTGTGAAAACTGAGCTGATGAGGCCAAGGCACGATGATCCAGGTCTCCCTACATGTGTTTTTTCCTTCTACCCCAAGTGCTGAATTAGCCGCAGCTAGTGGGAGATTCCCAGAGAGAGAGGAGAGGGGTCCTGGGGGGCATTTCCAGAAGCATTGTAGGCTGATGGATTTGGGGGTCAGAGGAGTTGACAGGGTCATTAAGTTCAAAAGTCAGGCCACCTGGCCAGCACAGGCTAGCCAGCCTCCTTCACCCCTACTGACACAGAGCCACTGCCCTCTCCTCTTGGAGAACACCCCCTGTGTTTGGGGGACACATTTGCAGTCATAACGGGCTCCCAACCACAAAAGTAGGCTCTTGACCCAGGCTGAGCCAACAAGATGCTACCCCTCTGGCCAAAATACAGCAAAGATCCAAAGTCCTAAGATTAATAAAACCACGGCTGCTTTATGATGTAACTAGATTGAAGTTTGGGACCCTCGTGGCCATGTCTCTGGCCAGAGGGAGCCGGACTGCATGGGAGAATGAAACCAACCCCCAGAGACCGGCAGAAATGCGAGACTGACAGAAAGAGCTCCAGGACACTGAGATTCCAGGCCCCTCCCCAACCCCCCAACCAAGCCAGAGCTGTCTTTCCCTTCCCAGAGTTGAGATGAATGAGCTGGTAACTTTCCCTCTTTTCCTGAAGACAGTTGGGCTGGACTTCTAAAGGCAGTGATCAGAAGAGCCCTGACCGAAGCACAGACATGACTTACTGTCAGGGTAGCACAAAGCCGGAAACGGGTGTAGGACAGAGTATATTTCAGGGACTACAGAGGCCTTTGATGCTCGGGACACACCAGCCAGCATGGGAGAGACAGACTGCACTGGGACAGAGAGCAGGGGCCAGCAAGGCCCAAGTGATGTGCCAACATGGGCCTGCTCTGGAAATGAGTTCAACCCATACAGAGCAGCACACTTCTAGCTTGCTCTCCCACTAGATGGCAAGGCCCTGAGATTTCCTCACATTCTGGGGAAACAACGTGTGTGTGTGTGTGTGTGTGTGTGTGTGTGTGAGACCCTCGCCAGGTCAGGAGACTGAGGCCTCCATAGAAGTCAGAGTCGGAAATGCTGGGCCTGCCAGTGACCCCCGTCCCCAGCGTGCCAGGGCGAGGAGGGCCAGGCCTCAGAAGTCAGGGAGACATCAGTTTGGGAGTTGTGTCACCCAAAGATATCCACTGAATTATGTACATAGAGGGAAACCCATGTGGCACTACTGTGGATGTGGACACTGAGCTGCTCAACCAAGTCATATTCCACAGTAAGAATCATTTGGACCAGGCCCTCTCTGGTGGCGCAACGGGTTAAAGCACAGCACTAAGAAGCTAAAGCCACTTCCTCATGAGTTCGATCCCTGCCCACCCTGGAAGTGACCCACATGGCGTGGCAGACCTCTCCCGACCCGCCCACTGCTCCCCTCAGCAGTGTACTTCATCCATCTGCCTGTTCTGTTCCCCACTCTGTCTCTGGTGAATCCTCTCATTGCCCTTGCACCTCTGGCCTGTACCCCAGTACATGAATAAAAAAACCTTAAAACACAGCCACAGCAGCTGGACTAGCATAGCTGGCCTCCAGGACAGGGTGTGGCTGCACTAACTTGGACCTCAGTTGGATCCTGATTGTTGGGTTCATTTCCTGCACTTCCGGCTGGGGCTCCATGGCCGCCCACCACACACACACACTCACTATGGTAACTGCGGCCTCTGGGGTAACCCACTTGTCTCCTTGCTTAAAACTACTCAAAGGACAATCTTTCCCAGTTGACCCATTAAAATGCACTTATTAAAGGCCTCTCGCCAAAGTTAAAGCATGTCTAACAGGAAGCTGTTAAAAGCAGAGATTCACGGTTGTGGTTCCATGAGACGAGTGCTCGTGAGGTCATCCAGGGCTGCCCGGAGCGAGATGGGCCGGTGCTCCGAGAGCCCTCCCGCAGAGGCTCAGCACACCAGGCTGTGTTTTCAGGGAGCGGGGCACCCTTCTGTGTGTGATAGTCCAAACTGTTCTCACTGCTCCACTGTCACGTTCCATGAGCTCTGATCAAGGGATATTTGCTTTATTCATTAAAGGGGAGAACACTGGAAGCATTTCAGATAAATACTCAGAGTTTCAAAACCACAAAGCTTTCTCGAGGAAACCCCTGACAGATGGAGGGTTAGCGGGTCCACATGGGCGCTGAGACCTTGTGTTGCTGATTCTCACCAAGTCGGATTGGTTCCCTCCTTGCCTAGCAAATTTCTAATTCCCTACTTTGTCGTTGTCACTGGGTGGCAGCTCAGGAGCTCAGTGAATGCAATTCAGGGCCACGCTGTCCCATAAAATGCAAGCGTTGTCCAATTCAAGGCAGAAACTCCCCTGTGAGGCCCTGGATCTGGAGGGCTTATGAGATCAGCAAGGCTAATCTGCTATCAAGGAGAACCTCAGCCTCTGACACTTGAGGTTGGGACTTACACAACCAAATAAAATCAATTACTTCCTAAGCTTAACTGCGCCTGATTTAAAGTGAAGAGGAAAGGTCGGTTCTTAATTCCAGGGTTCCAGGTCTATGATAGAAAACTAGAAAGCTAGAAAGCTAGAATTCTTTTTTTTCTTACAAATGATAAAAGCAGCTATTATGGCAGCTCATCACTGGGGAGGCAGGGCCTTTGCAGAGGGCAAATGATGTCTGCTTACACGTAGGGACTGTCGAACTTAGCACTCGAGGTTGTGTCCTCTGAGTTTACAATCCTGGCTCATCGCTCTGGTATGAGAAGGGTTAAATGAACCTGTTGAAAACCTCCTAGGGAGAGCTGAAGGGAATGGCCACATTAGCTCCACAGTGAAGAACAAAGTCTCAAAAGCACAAATGTATATGGACAAAGCACGGACATAATTTAATCAGTCAGCTCTAACAACTGAATCCGATGTTACTCAGTACACACACACACACACACACACATGCCCAGTACAAACAGGGCTCTCCCGATACTCACCTAGACCACCCTGACAAATATCTGTGCGTGTGGCTCCATCAACAATAAACTGGGGGCTGGGACACAATTCCTGAAAGAAATGTGGGACAAGCATGAATCACAAGATGCCCGTGGGTGGTGGCAGCATGGGGGAAGGAACTTTAGAGTTGGAGCACTCAGCCCTGGAAGAAACCAAGCGCGTGGTTATTGCATAGACCTTACCTTATTGCTGCAAACCCTGAAGCCCAGAAAGGTGGGAGACCAGCCCAGTAGAGTGGGGGCCAGCGCCCTCTGCCCCCTGCAGCCAGTTATTACTGTGCAGGCTGTGCGAGGGTGTAAGGGAGGGGCTGGTTTCAGGGAGTCAGGAGAAAGGCAGAGGCTGAGACAATGAAGTAATGAAATGGGATCTCACCCGTTCAGACAACAACCCGCTTTACAGAGCGGACTGGAATAGGGCTTAGCTCTAACAAGAAGCCACGTGCTCCGTGGACACCCATTAGATCCTCAACTAAACGATGATGGGCCCAGGGGCTGCGGAACCCCGAGCTGTCACACGTGGGAGGAGGCCTCGGTTGTGGCAGTCACATCCCTGCCACTTCTGCCCTTGGCAACCGCAGAGCTCCGTTAGGGCACCGTGAAGCCTTCCGTGGGCATTTGTGTCCTCGCTGTCTACCCAGCCAGCCTTGACTGAGTGCCCATCTGCGGGCAGTACAATGTGAGCAAGGGCAGGCAGAGGAAAGAGGGGGCGGACGGGCTGAAGGCAGGGCAAACCAAGGCTCTGGCCACGAGCGCGTTTGGTCTGTGTAGGAAACTAAGCTGACATTCACAACAAAATCGAGAAAGGTCTAGAGCCTAATAATGGAATGAGGACCAGTTAGACTGAGGGAGGAAAATGAAAAATGCCCAGTAAGAATCCTGCTAGAAAGAACTAGAGGGAAGAGGATGTGCCCCCTGGAAGGGCAGGAATTAGGAGCAGGTGCCAGCCAGCGCCCCGAGGAGGGTGGGTCTGCCCAGCCCCAGGTAAAGGGCTGGGGGTGCGAGGCTCAGGGTGCGAAAGGCCCGCCCACGTGTGACCAGGTGCCCTGGGCTGCAGGAGCTGGACACACGTCCCACCCCTGCCCTAGAGGTGAGAAATGGCAGATCCCGGGTCAAGAAAGCAAGGGGCTGAAGGCAGACATGGGGGGGCCCTGAACTGGCCTTCCGGGGTGTGCTGGGTAATCTGGCCCCTGCCCACCGCCCTGCGTGACGCGGCCAGCTCTGCTCTAAATGGCCAGCTATATCACCTTTGGGTTGACCTTTTTTTCTCCCCAGTATTAAAAAAAAATCATCAACTTTTTTTTTAAATAATGTATGCTCACTGGTACAAAAAAAAAATCTGACAGTAATTAATACTTTTACTTCCTTTTTCTGTTAACATTCTTACATAGACTTCCTGAAAGCACTTTATGTATACCTGAATTGCAGGTCTTACACCTTTTTGTTT